AAGTGACGAAAAATTATTATTAATAATTTAGTGCCATTATAATTGTTTATATTTGGCGAGTAATTATTAATGAAAACCCATATTGTTAAAATAATAAGTGGGAGGGGGTGTATAAGCATGTATAAACCCGCAGCTTCCTCCGTCATCCAATTTGTTATTAAGATACGTGTGTTTAGTATTGAATTACATCGGTCTCCCGATAGGAAAACGACATTATTTTTGATTAACGAAAATTGGATCTTGTAAATAGAAATTTTTTAAAATGGACTAAGTGGGGGATTATCCTATAGATAACATCTCACGTATTTCGGGTATTTTAAAATAATTGACAGAGGTTATTACACTTATATTGGAATATTGTTGGGGGACTTCCTATAGAAGATTCCAACAAAATTATTCATAGGCTAAATAATAATCAAACCTCATTACATTGTGGCATGAAATGTCGAGCTCAATAAAATGAGTGGGAGGGTCCCAACCTTGCCGTCAACTACATGACCTCCTATAGAGGGCGTATTTAAAGTTGTAAGGGTTTAAGGTCTTTGATTTGAAAAATACAGTTTTGGAGTCTATATCCACATACTATATACATGCATCGTACAAAGATTATTGTTCATTTTAATTAATAGGCGAATCGTTAATTCTTTTCAACAAAATGTCGCTTAATCCATTATCAGTGATACTTAAACAAAATCAACTTGTGGGAGAAAACTACGTTGATTGGAAAAGAAATCTTAACATTGTTCTTATCACCGAAAAACACAAATTTATGCTGAGTGAAATTTGTCCCGAACCCCCTAAAGATGATTCCACAAGATTTCAAAAGGCTGCATATGAAAAGTGGTGTCATTCTAATGAGATGGCCTGTTGCTACATTTTGGAATCTATGTCAAATGTGTTGCAACAGAAACATCACAATATCGAAATCGCTTTTGACATGATGGAAAGCCTTCAAGAGATGTTTGGACACCAAAGCCGACAAGCTAGGTAAGCTTCCATTAGGGCGATTATGAACACACACATGAATTAATGAAAGAGCTCCAAAATGCTGAAACTGTTCTCAAGGCCAGAAGTGGAAAGTCTATGTTTGTGACAGCCGGATCCTCCCATCCTAAGCCTTCTAGTGGCAAAGGAGGAATCAAGAGGAAGATGCCAAGTAAAAAGCAAGATGGCAAGTCAAAGGGAAGGAAAACCATTACCGATGGAAAACCAAATGGAAAGTGTTTTTCTTGTGGACAGAAGGGACATTGGAAGTGAAACTGCCCGGATAACCTAGCTAAGGGAAAGCAAGGTAAAGGTAATACCCTATTCATTGAGTCATACTTAGTGGTTGATTCTACTAAGCCCTGGATTGNGTTTTTCTTGTGGACAGAAGGGACATTGGAAGTGAAACTGCCCGGATAACCTAGCTAAGGGAAAGCAAGGTAAAGGTAATACCCTATTCATTGAGTCATACTTAGTGGTTGATTCTACTAAGACCTGGATTGTATATTCTGGAGCCACTAATCATATATGCAATTCTTTGCAGAGGTTCCAGGCAACTAAGCACCTCAATGAAGGGGAGTACACTCTCAGAGTCAGCACAAGAGCAGTAGTATTCGCCAATGCAGTTGGCACCTCTACTTAATGTTTTGAGAATTGTATACATTTGATTTTAGGTGACTGTTATTATGTTCTCGAACTTACACGAAACTTGGTTTTCATTGCACTTTTATATCGTGTTGGTTATTCAGTACTTTTTAGCCGTTCTATGGTATCAAGTTGAATAATTCTGTTATA